AATAACGAGGGGATCTGAATAAGTTACCCGTCTTCGGGAACGTACGAGTGATTGAATGGGAAACGGGCCCGACAACGGGTCAGACGAATGGCTTTTGGGACTCAGACAGTAACTCCAACGAACAAGACCCGGGGTGTCTGCTCTTGAGTGGAAGACGATGCTGACGTCAATAACGGCCGGCGAAACGACTGTCGGAGGTCCGGGCGAACGGGGAGGACGCGGTGCTTGAACGGAGCTCTCGAGAAGGAGCTACAACAGACGGAGGAGCACGGCTGTGGGTCGTTGTTTCTCGCGGGTTGCTAGACTGGGAAGTCGCGATTGAAGATGGTGGCGGTGGGTTGAGGGAATGCCGGAGATGATGGTGATTCGCCGGATAAATTGCAGGTTTGCGAATTTTTCTTTTTTTTATTTTTTTTTTATTTTTTTTGAATTCTGCGAACAGAGGGGGATAGAGCTTAGGAGTTGAGATAATTTTTTGAATTTTTCCCAAGGAAGTGACTCCTCTGCTGTGATATAAAGGGGCGAGAGAGAGAGATTGATGGAGAACGCGGTGATCGTGCGAGGAGGAAGCGCAACTGATTTGATCCGCTGAAGACTTGGTCGTAGTGTTGAAGGAGCATGGATTGAGATGCTCTTGGGCCACTAATCAAACAATATATTTGGCCCAAGATCAATTTGGGCTAGAGCTTTAATATATGGAAATAAAATATTTACAATAGTTTGGGCCTACTAATTTAAATACAAAAGGGGCCGAATATATGGACATCCATCGAGTCGAATTCTCTAACGACTCAACTTACGAATATTCGCGCTCGGCTCGATTGAATGGTTCGGTAAAATAAATTAACTGAAATATATATATATATTTATATAATACACACAATAATAGATTAAAGTAATAATATTACTAATAAAGTATGCATTTAGACAAATAATTACAATTTGACAAATAATAATATTTAAGACAATTAATATTAATAATAGAAATATTTCTAATAATAAATAAATAATAGCAATTTGACAGCTAATAGCAATTATAATAATAATTATAATGATAATAATAATAAAGACAATTTAATATTAGCAATAGCCAATAATTACTCCCAAATAATCCACAATAAAACGGGGTATTACAGAGATCTTGACGGAGGCTCATACCGCACCATATCTAGCCCATCCAGGAAGTACCAAGATGTCTCATGACCTGAAAAGGTCGTTCTGGTGGAAAGGTTTAAAGAAAGACGTAGCCGATTTTGTCAGAAAGTGTTTAACCTGTCAGCAAGTCAAAGCCGAGCATCAGAGTCCTATAGGCGTTCTGCGACCACTGTTGATTCCGCGGTGGAAGTGGGAGGAGGTTTCGATGGATTTCGTCACAGGGTTACCGAGGTCGTCTGAACATCACGACGCTATTTGGGTCGTGGTGGACAGATTGACTAA